TTTCGGTTGGTTTGCTTTCTTCTTTCTAAAGCTTTTTGTGGCATCTTTACACCAAAAAAATTGAGAAGACAAACTCGATCCTATGTTCCTTTCGTTACGGTATTTTATGAACAAATTCCTTAATAACAAATTTAAAGATTTCTTATTGACGATTGGAGTTGGAGCTGCAAACTATGTCAATGGTGGTCTGAAAAAAAACCAAAAAAAAAAAAAAAAAAAAAAAATATTTGCTACTCCATAACCAAATTGAGCCGGGATCTGTGATATGTATGGTTTGTGGGTGATTTCCACATATTTAAAGTTTGCAATTTATTTAAAAGTTCGAAGTGACTAACGGCTGAGTTGATTCTTCTTCATTTTTGAAAAAATATAAAATTAAGTTACTTAAATATAATTCACCTTTAACTTCCATACATAATGTACTGTCTGTCAGAAATTATTAAATTTTACTTATTTCGAAGTTTAAATTCATTTGATATGGTAAGAGGATGGCTTAGGCGCCGTACTAAACCTACATTTTCACTAATTTGGCGTATTTCCACTGTCTATGAACAAGTGTGTGTCTGTATGCAGCTTCAGCTATTCCCTTGCAACATTGCACATTTTGGTAATAATGAGATTCTTTTTTTAGTTAAGTGGGTGTTCGGAAAGTTACGAACTCTTAGGACCCTTGGATAACCTGACTAATTTTTTAGAATCTGAAAGTGCGCCTCCCCACCTAAGGCAGGTAAATCACTGTAGGGGTAGCTACGATTAGCTAGTTACAAAGAATACCCACAAAACTCGAACCCCAAATCTTAAACTTGTTAAGTTCCAAAATTTAGTAGGAAAATCGCAGGACCTGAAGTGGATATTAATAATGAGATTTTGATAATTGGTAACACACACATATAGATATGTGATATGTTGCTTTACATGTTTATTATATATGATATCTAAATCTAAACATTATCTCTCTTTAAAAAATGAAATGTGTTGCTTTCAATCATGAAATGGAGGAGACAACAATAATAGGAGTATGAGCCAAGCAAAGCTGATTTTATATAACCATGTTCATGATTGCCGACAATTTAGCCAACACAAGACATGTGTCGTCAAGGTACTTATTTTATATACTACCTGTGTATAAAAATATATGCAATTTCACGATCCTAATGGAGTTCAAAGGAAAATACGTATGTGCATGGCATTAATTATATTAAAGTTTGAAGATATATATTTCTTTTTCTTCACACACTCATTTATTTCTATTAAAATTCAAACTCTAGAGTTACAACATTTGATGAGCTCAAACGAGACTTCAAAAGATTGGTGCATCATTATAAATACATGTGATATAATAATGGCTATAACTTGTAAGTGCGTTGGTTTTAACTTTTAGGAAGTCCGTTGTATGTAATCATTAAAATTGTGATGCAAAAAATACAAATTCAAATTGAGTGGATTCAAAAAGATGCTACTATGGGAGTTAGTTGTGTCTTCTATATATATATTTTTTTCTTGAATACACGAAATCTCACCCGTAAAATAAATCATCGCACCTATGATTGAACTAACTACGAAAAAATTAATAAACTTTTTTTTAAAAACGTTTCATCCCTTCCGATCACATCATAGAACTCTTCGTTACAATTCCTATCTACTCTCCCAATTCTAGGAGAATGATGAATCATATTTAAAAAAAAAAAAAAAATCCTCTTTTATTGGATGCTAATTATCTTGTATAGGTCCAAAATCAAACAAGTCCGGATTAAGTATTTTTTTAATTTTTAATTAGTACATTTATTTGCATTCAAAAATAGTCGAATCTTAAATGTAATGTATTGTGAATATATATATATATATATTTGGTTCAAATTGCAGGTAAAGAGAATGCGTGGACATGGTCCACTGAGTGGACTGTTATAGTCATGACCTTCATGGTCCAATAATGAGATTTTGAGAAGAAAAAAAAAGTGGGGCACTTTAAGAGGGAGGGGAGGGTGGCACACAGGGTCATCACGTGGGTTATGGCCCCACCAGTCCCCTAAAAGTTAGGGCATCTCACGACGCCATTCCCTCTCTATTCTATGATTTTCTCTCCCCCCATTCCTTTCTTTCCCCACACGCCTCTCACCAGTCCCCCGCCCCACCACCATCCTTTCTCCATAAACCAAGCAGAACTACAGACACATACACGTGACCCAACCCCTCTCATACCCCTCCCCCCAACCCCCCTCTCTGTGTCTATATCTGTATCTATACACACATCATATTCACATCATTACAACCTCCAACTGACTTATCATTATCCTTGAAGCGTCCGAATCTTCTGTTAGTATGGTTTTTTTTCTGCTAGATGCAGATAACATAGAAATTGAGACTACTCTAACATAATTATTCTTTGGCTGCTCAAAATATTTATGTTAATTTTAAATTTAATATGTTATCTGAATATCTGTTGTGACAAAAGCCACATAAACTAAATAAATAGGTTGTACTCCATAAGATAAAAGGGTTTGTTAGAGAAAGTAAATAAGTAGCGAACAAGATACAAAAGATTTATCTAATTTAATATCTTAGAATATATTATAAAATATATTATTACTTTATTGTAAAATATATTCTATCTATATATAGGTTTATCATATATGATTTAAGTTTCTTACTCCCACACATCTCGTCTCCTATATAAATCTCTCTTGTATACATCTCATATATCAATACAACACACAATCTACATTCTCTCTTTATTTCTAACATGGTCTAGCCCCATCCTCGACAGTGGCGGTTTCAACCAACCGCTTCAACACTCTGCCTCATTTAGAGAAGCCCTACCTAGGGATGCCCCGTATAGGAAGTCTCATTGTTTAACGAGATGCCTCGTTCAGAGATGTTCAACGTGTCGGATCAGCTCCGTCACCTCAAGTGGTAATCCCACTCTTCCATGTGCTTTCACGTGTACCAGCGGTAATCCCGCACCTTAACGTGTCGAATAAGCTCCGTCACTGCGCCATAAGTGGTCATCATGTGCTCACACGCGCCTTCAACGTAGTGAATCATTACAAATTCATCACCCATCAGTTTATAATAGTTACCACCAGGGATGGCAACGTCAACCTATTCACGTTCCACACCTACCTCCAAGATCTTCACAGATCTACCTTACGTCACCTGACATGCCAACATTGGTGCAACGTTAGACACATTCTGCAGCAGTGTCTGTAGTTGTGCCAAGTCACTTACCACTTCAGTTGCCACGCAGCAGAGGTGCCAACAATAGTGTCAAGTCACCTGCCACTTCAGTTGCCATGTCATTAACCACGTTAGCATCAATGCCACGTCAACTACATCAGTGTCTTCAATATAACCCACCTTGACTTTGAGGGGGCCGTTAGAATATATTCTATAATATATTATTACCATGTATTGTTAGAATATATTATATAATATATCATTGCCATATATAAATTACCTTATATGGTAGCTGTGTTAACCTACCCTCATTACCATATATAACATTACCTTATATGGTAATGACTTGCTCTTCACATATCTCGTCACCTATATAAATCCCTATAAATCTTCATATCATACACATCAATACCATACAGAGTTATAAACTTTCTTTTATATTTAACATGGTACCATAGCCTCTCGATTACTGATAAAATCTTATCAGTTTATCATAGTTACCAACGGGGATGGCACCATCAGCCCCATCCTTAGCGGTCAACCTTCGACGATCAATATTTGAACTTATGCTTCTCCATCCCAACCTTTAGTCTCAAGTTCATAATCAGCAAAAGCCTTATTTTGTGACCCAATCAGCCTTCAAGACACATCAATAGTGGTGCTAGCAATACTGCGTTACCTGCCACGATATTTGTCATGTCATGTCAGACACAGTCAGCAGTGGTGCCGGCAATAGTGCCACGTCAGCTGTAATCGTGTCTCCATCTTCATCGTGGGTGAAAACCCATCTTCACCAAATTGCTTCTGTCATGCCGCTTTCAAGATCTTAATTATTTCTAAACTCAAGATGGTTTTATTCAATCCACCTTGATTTTGAAGGAAGCTGTTAGAATATATTGTAGAATATATTATTACTATATTGTAGAATATATTCTAACCATGTATAGATTTATCATGTATACATTTACCATATAGGGTTTAGGTTTCTTACTCTCCACACATCTCGTCTCCTATTTAAACCCCTCTTATACTACATATCTCATATATCAATACAACACACAGTTCAATAGTCTCTCTTTATTTCTAACATAGAAATTGAGACCACTCTAATCTTATGTTTTTTTTCTGCTAGATGCAGATAACATAGAAATTGAGACTACTCTAACATAATTATTATTTGGCTGTTCAAAATATTTATGTTAATTTTTAATTTAATATGTTATCTGAATATCTTTTGTAACAAACGCCACAGAAACTAAATAAATAGGTTGTACTACATAAGATAAAAAAAAGGGTTTGCTACAGAAAGTAAATAAGTAGCATACAAGATACAAAGGTTTATCTAATTAGATATAAAATCTATGATGAAGAGACAAAGATTTATATAATTCGGTTTAAAAAAAAAAGTAAAAAAGGTATGAGTTTTAGAGAGATTGCAAACCTTTAGCGCGGGCTATAAGAGAATCTACAACACAGGTGACACCCATATATATATATATATATAATGATGTTAACAAATAATTGTGTTGAATCTCGATTTAATACATTATTCACTTAATTTACAATACGCTAGTAGGAATATCCATCCTTAGAAAGTATGGAACCAAAAGCGGCATGCACCCTAGTTAAAAATTCCCAAGTCATTAAACCATATAAAAAAACAAGTGACATGTACATGAATAATGATGTAGGGTTCCTATAATTTTGATATTTATGTGAGTATGAGCTGACGTCATAATGTCTTCAATTCCTATTATTAATAAGAATGGAAATAAAAATACAGAAAGCCAAAAAGGAAAGAAAACATATGTCAAAGAGGAGCAATATTACGTCATAATAATCCCTTCATATATATAGATATAGAAATACATGTATAATTTACAAACACATGAAGAAAGAGAGGAGATCAGAAGATTGATTAGTAACTTATATTTTTTTCTACAAATTAGCTAATTAAATACTAATCTTTCATTACATACCCTTAACCAAAAAAAAAAGGTGGGTTGTGGGGGAAGTTTCTATATCTTATCTAACAACTTATCAACTTAACAAGCTGCTGATGAATTGGTGAAGGGGTTAAAGAAGTGAGGCTTTGGGGCCATTGTTAATGGATTCTTGGAAGTTTTGTCGGCGGCAGTAGTGGTGGCGGCGCTGCCGATCCTCTCGCAGGACGGGCACATGGTGAGAGTGGCCGCCGGCAGCTGCATGTAGAAGGATTGGGCCAATTTGATTGCTTTCAGTTCTTGAAGCTCCTTTTGTAGCCTCCTGTTCTCATCTGTTAGTGTCTCACAGCATTTCTTCAAGAACTCACAGTCCACTTCTGTTTGCTTAAGCTTTGTCCTATAATTAGTTAACAAGAACTGATTAATTAAGATTCACATATAGAAGGTACATATATATATATATATAATAATAATAATAATAATAATAATAAAATGATACATATATGTATATGATCCCCCAAATTTAGGTCATGATATGGTACATGTTTAAAACTTTCAAATCTTTCATCATAGTTTAGTGAATTTTGTACTTTTTACATTGGACTGAAAATGTTGCACCGCTACATATGTATATAGAATAATATATATATATATATATATATATATATATATATATATGAAAATTGATGGATATAATAACCAAATTTGGAGTCCTCTGGGAGTGATATGATCTTTTCTTTCTAAAAGGGAGGCTAAGAATTCAAACCCCATTAGAAACTTGTGAATAATGAATGTGTGTTTGCTTTCACTATCAAAAAAAATAAAAAACCCTATAATAAATAATTTTAATTAAATCCATCTATAATCTCATTTAACCATTTTTTTTTTTTTTTTATCTATTGAATTTACATTTTCTTTACCAAAAAAAGTGTAAAAATAAAGTTTTTTCAGAAATTAATAATAATTAAGTTTGGAAAATAAAATCCAAGAAAGAATTTATATTGAACAACACTGCAATATATATATATATATGATTCAGGATAAAATATAAAAAAATAAAAAATAAAAACAATATATATATATATATATATGATAAATATGCACACTTGTATGCCTTTTTGGATTTTTTAAATTTTTGGTAAAGTTAATAAAAAGTTTTAGGATTATGAATTGATAGATAGATAACCTGGCTCTTCGATTCTGGAACCAAACTTCAACTTGTCGAGGCCTTAGATTTAACTCCCTCGCTAAATCTTGCTTTTGTTTCTGAGAAATTCAAGAATAACCCATTACTTTTCACATTCAAACCAATCAAATAACACACACAAAAACACAGACACAAACACACACACATACATATATATAGAGAGAAAGAGAGTAATTACTGGGTTGAGAGTGCTGTGCAGTTTGAAGCTTTCTTCTAAAAGAGCAGACTGATCTTTGGTGAGTCGAAGTTTCTTCCTCGGATTCATTCCATCATCGTCTTCATCCGTACTCACCCTCGACGACACTCTCTCTATCTCCACCTCTTCACCACCAATCTCTCTCTCCCTCTTCACACTAGCATTCGAGAACGACGAAGCTGTCGTACTATCTTGCCGATACAAATCACCAGACTGACCATAAGTCCGATCACCGGAAAGTCCCAACGTCAGAGACGGCTCGAAACCGAAATTCTTTGACCTCTGATCAATACTCTTCAATGGAGTTTCTGTACAAGTAATACCTAACCCTAGAACAAGACCAGTGTTACAAATATCATCAGAACCCATTTATCTTTGATTAATAAGCAAAAGTATAATGAATATGAGCCTGTTGTTGAATGGTTTGGAGTGAAGGTTTTGGAGGAAAATGAAGAATAAAAAGAAGAGAAGGGAAGGAAATGGTGAGGAAAAGAGAGAGGAGAGAGAGAGAAAGAGAGGAGACTTGTTGTGAAGGGAGTTGGGTGGGTGGGTGACTATGTTTGATTATTAATAATCAAAGGTATGAATGAGTAGAGGAACGAATATATGTTGGTGTGGATGAATTATGAAGAGTCTCTCTCTTTCTCTCTCTACATTGGTTGACCATTTGAACCCCACTTATTATTTTCTACATTATAATAACTGTGTGTGTCTCTCTCTCTCTCCTGTTTTCTCTCTCTAGAATCAATTATGGGGAACACATCGAGAGAATGATAATTCGTCCGCTTCTCTCGCCACCCATTAGCGTACCAAATTCAACTATTCATCAATATCTTTTCACTTTAGCATGATTCTTTGGCCATTTGGTTTTACTATGTATGCGTATATGTTTCAATTATTAGCCAACTTTGCCTTGTTATCTTCTGCCAATACTACATACGTGGATATGACACTTTTTTTATTTTTTTATTTTATTTTTCTTTTTATATACCCTATATTTTATATTCATAGATGCAACATCAAGGTTATTAGTGTTTGTGGCTTAAATTTTGGTACGTGGAGAATTATATTCTGGACAAGCAGAACATGTTGTTTGGGCAAAATAGTTGAGAATGGTTGCATCAATGGTCGAAGAAGCTAAACCGGTTGCGCTTGCCTGATATGTGTGAGGAATAACCTCTTAATCGGTTTTGGAAGCCGGCCAAAAGACTTTGGAAAGGCTGAAAATCAATTTGGGAAAGAAATTATGCCTACTATTTTAGAGTTAAAGACTAATATGATAATTCTTAGTGTTGAATGAGTTGGAGAGAGTCAATTATCACCAACAATAAGTTCGAAATGAAAAACAACGAATTTCTCTGTATCTAGAGGTAAGTCTACGTATCAATACCCCATTATGAATAGTTTATATTACTTAGGGTAATAGTTTATATTATTTAGGGTAACAGTGAATATTGATTGGCCAGAAGTACATACATGGTATGTAAGTACGCCCGCGTTATTGAATAATTATTTTTTTCCGTATATTTGACCATCTTAGATCTAGCGGTCTCATGCACTGGGTAATCTTTTGAGTGGTCCTTTTACCTGTTATATTAATCTAACTCTTCTTGATATATTGAAAAATAAACTGCAGTGATTAAAGGGTTAATTATGCAATTATATATAAGCAAAGGGCGGATTATTGATCAATATATACCACATGCATGCATGTAAATTTCATTTTCCATTTTATAGAAAAACCAAATGAATTGTCTCTAACTCGAGGTTTAATTAGCTAGAGAAGGGGTCATGTTGTCTAGCTAACCATAACTATATATATATATATATATATATATATATATATATATAATTAATGAAAAGTGGTGTGTGGGTAGTACATTACATTATGAATGTGGGGGAAGATGACACATGAGATGGGCACTACATTTTATGATGAATGGTTCCTCTTTTTTTCTTGATTGTTTTGCAGGAAAGTAAAAGGGAAGAAAAGAAAAGAAAAGAAAAGTAGGTCGAGACACCATTGGAGTTTCAAAGAGTTATAATTGTGCCGGCCAGAATATGATTCATCAACAAGAATCCGGATATCTTTGCTTAACCAGAAAGTTGATGTTGAGTGTTTTTGGGACCTACAAATTTGTAGATTTATAGACACATTCAATAATGCATTGTCGGCTATGCTTATGGAGGTGTTAGGCCACCAATAAAGCATGACAAATCTAAATCATGATGATTATATATATACATATATATAAACATGCATAACAACAGAATCAGCTTCTATTAGTTGTTGATTAATTTAAATTATGGGTAATTGAAGAACAATTCCTCAAATGGCATGGATGGTCCCACACACACATTAGGGTCAAATATTTCAATTGGAAATGTGTGGTGCACCCAACTTTCTACAAGCTATAATGGTAGTAATTATGTATGAGTATATATTTTTAAGTTGTCAAGTTTGAAATAAGTTCAAAAAGTTGTTCTTCTCGATTCCATGTATAAGAATTCAAATGGCTTTCCCACCTATTATATAATATACATATACCTATTATAGAGTATAATTAAGAATACTAGTAAATTTTTCTATATATATAGCATGTGTGCATTTTATATTCGGCAGTGGGCACCATAACAAAAACTAACAAATTTGATGGAAGAGAGTTCATAATTTGTAATCTAAAATACTGTACAAAAATAGAATAATATTGTGCATTCAAGATTGTACTGCCCTTGTTTTCTTACATATAGATATAAGGGAATTAAATTACATGTGTGATTGGATCTTGCCCCCACATTGAGAATTTTGGACTTATAAGAGTTTGTGAATAGCACCACCTAATAACTTAATATTTTAGGTTAGATGGCAAACATCCGACTTGTTATAATCAGTATTAATAGAATTGGTTTAACCCCTTTTTTGGTGTCACGCCAAGTGTTCACTTCCAAGTGTTAATTTGGTTCAGTCGATTGTTGTTGAGTCCTTGATCAACAAGTAGACAGAGTGATCCAACCGCAACTTTTGAATTTGATAGGATGAAAGAGTAGATAAGATAGTCTGACAGTAACTTTCGAGTAGGATGACAAACGTGTCGCTCAACCGATTACAAATTTCTTTAAGTTTAAACTAGTCAATAACACAAATTTTTTTTTTCTTTTTTAGAAAAGAGAGAGGCTAGTGCACATGTTCCTCTACTAGGTGGAGAGAAATTGTTTTCAATTTTAAACACGTGACAACCAGTTCATAATAGAACAATTTTACCGTTGCGCCAATCCCTGCCCTTGTATAAAAAGGCAGAAGTACCTACACAAAAAATCATTTTCATATAAATCAAAAATGAAAATAAATGTGCTTTCTACTCCAACCTTGTAGGTAAAAAATGTTGTTAAAGTTAGTAATATAGTATTTTCCTTGTAACCATATGGGCAAATGTTAAGGGTTTTCTGTGTTCATTAATTGAAAATTTCAACTAATCTGCCACTCATTATTTGATCTTCATAGAATTTTAGATAATTTAACTAAACAAAAGTTTATGCTATTTGGACCTTTTCTAAAAGTCAAGAATGTCAATCTAATGACATTTTTTTTTCGAATCTAACTGGTTTCACACTATGAAATTAGATTTTTATCATTATTATTTTTTTAATGTGAAAATGATGATGTAGTACGTAATCTGACAAGAGTCTTGTGGCATGTAAAATGACTTATATTAAGAGTCTTCAAATGTGGATTCTCAGGATAAAGCATGCATTTTACCAACTCTTATAATGGCATCACATTGCATGTGAATTTACAATATGATCAAATAAATGCCTTTGTCTTCATATTATTTTAGTCAAAAGTGCATGTAGACACACATATAATTAAAAATAATAAAAACACATATGTAACATCTTTCCTAGTCTTATAATAAATTCACTAGCTATATTATATAGAATTTTGTGTGTTTTCGTTGTTGGATTGTGTCACTTGGAAGTTGGACCTAACAATTTCATTGGCATTACTATAGTATTTATCATATTATATTGTACACTAACTCGCACGGGTAGCCTAAGTAGATAAAGTGTCTCTTAGTTCAAATTTAAGAAGTATTAAGAAGTATAGATATGGATAGGATATGGGTATAACATAATAGAGACATAATAATATGATAAATTTAAAAAAAAAAAAAAAATACATGTATGGTATAAATACGTAAATATATATAAATAAATCTTTTTTGTCATTTTAACCATATAATCATTAATAAATCAATAATTTAGAGTTTAAAACTAGAAATTTGTTATTTTTTTTTATAATTTTATATTTTAGATTGCATTAAATTACATTTTAAAAAACGAAGAATTACAAAATTATCCCGTCGTATCTTGAAAGTGTCCAAAACGTATCATTGATGTCTATGTCATGTCCTAGTCGATCGTATACAACCAGAAAATAAAATATTCATTATTCAGGATACTTCTAACTATATCCGACACACGTCGGAGTTATATCTCACAAATGTCCGATACCACCGTAGCACTATAAGAGATGTATCGATACCGCCTCAGCACATTAAAAGATGTATCCATGCTTCCTAAGTCCAAAACGTAAATTTGAAAGTCTCAAGTTTAATTTTCAAAAGATGCAAAAATACTCAAACTTAAATAACATGTATAATTTATAAGTGTGTGTGTGTGTATATATATATATATATTATGTTTTTTTATTAGCATTATTATTATTTTGTTGCTGTGCACCAAAGTTGAATAATTTGTTTGTTCTTAAATGGTTATTAATCATATACTAGTACTATAGCTTTTGTCCATACATCAGTGGTTGAGTACCCAAAAGCAAACCAAGTTGATTGAAATTGACTTTGACACAGTTGAGCATTCAACAATTAATTATGCACCAAAAGGAATGTGGTATCCTCCCTAACTTTCACTTTATTAATATGATTGGGAATAATTAGAAATCCACTAAACTAATCAAATCTTTACTTAAAGTACTAATCAACCCCAAATCTCATCCATACAACCGAAAATATATTCATATAGAGGGAGAGAGAGAGAAACCAACAAAAAAATTAAAAACTAGCGGTGGCTCTGTCATCTCACACGCAATTGTACAACAACACACCCTTATCTCTCAATTGTACAGACTCCCTTTATCTGATGACACGTGCTGTGTGAATAGGAGAGAGAAAGTAGAGAGAGAAAGGGTGAGACAAGAAGGGACCCACCAATGATTTTGTATGATGAGCATCTGATTCTGTGAGGAGGGTGGAAGGTGGAGGGTGTTTGATGATTTTGAAGCGTAGAAGTTGGCAAATGATGTAAAGGATAAAGTATTTTTTATTTTTTAAAAATTTTATTTATTTATTAGTATTTTTTTTTGGTTGGGATAAGGTTTTTAGACCTGACTTTACGGCAAGACCACCAATGGTTTTTGTGGGTTGTTCTCTGCAGATAGATAATGTGTGTGCTCTTTTTATGTGTTTTTGGGGGGCTTTTGCTTTGTTTGGCTTTCTGAATACCAACCGTCCCAATCAAGGAAACAAAAAGACTTTAATCTACTTTGTCCATTCTGGACGACTTTACTGTGTTTGGTTAGAGGAAAGGATGAGAGGAGGAATGTAGGAGGCTTTTGGTATTTGGGCCGAAGAAAGAAAGGAGAGGGAGGAAGCAAATCCCTCCTTTCTTCATGTTTTCTATGGCCTAATTTTGAGGGAATTGAGGGGAAAGAAAATGAATAACT